CACCAACAGATAGTTAGCAATTTGGACTCCCCAGCAGCTCTGCAAAGCCTCGGAAAACCGACAGGTAGGTCTTCTCTGTCCTATGAGGTGGCTCTGAGTGGAAACCAACTCCGCAGTGAGAGTTATATGCAAGCCAAGGGGCTTTGGCGTCATCCAATCTTCAGCAGTTTGTACCCATCAGCCATTCTGCTGGAGAAAGATGGGGTGGCTGGTTTCTGTCCAGCTTTGGAAACTCTGGGGCGTGGAGGGGGTGGGCATTCTGCTGTTCCATAGGCTCACTGGTTCAGAATGGATTTTTATTTACGTGCAAGCCATCTTTGTCCTGGTGCCCTCATTCCTGTGGTGGACTTCTTTACGTGGCTGCCATCTTGAATCCACTCTTTTGATTTCAAGTCCACTGCCGTATTTTCAATCAAACCACCACTGACCACGGTGACTGTTTAGTCTCCTTGTCTGAACGCTCCAATCCACACCTGCTGAGGTGATGGGCGATTCCCAACTTCCCGCCTCCACTGGAAATCTATTTCTTCATAATAGATGAACACAGCGGTGATTCTGTTAGATTTCATCCAACATAAACTCTGGTACATGGTAGACACTCAACAAGTATTGACTGAAGAAACTGAACAAAAATATTCAATTCTTTACTGTCCAAGGGTTCCTTCCCTCAGCCTAGAACCATGCTAAATATTGTAAATGTGAACACAGCTCAATCATTTCAATAATCTGATCTCGGGGCCTCTGATCATGATATTTGATAAAGAGACTTCATCGTGATTAGAGACCCTAAGAGGTTGACTCCAGGACGGTAGCTACTATCCACATGTTGGGGGCTCAAGCACAGGCACACATGTGAAGACGGTGCAGGCCCGAGGAGTGTTTGATTCTGTGTGCACAGTGGTGCTATGGGCTGGAACTGACCTGATGGTGCCGGCCAACAGCCAATGTGCCTGGGTTGTACTTGAAGCGTGGCAGGAGCCTTGGTGGGTTAAGTTGAGGGCTCAAACCCACTGGCTGCTCCTTGGGAGAAAGGTCTGCTCCCATAAATATTTACATGTCAGAAATGCTGGGGAAAAAAAGTATTTTTGTTGTTGTTTGTGGTAGTTACATAATCTGGTGTCAATTTGAGGATTCTGAGTGTAGAGGTGGAGTCTAGCTTGTCAATCAGGAGATAGCAATTGAGGCCTCTGTTTGGTGGTGGCCTTCTCCTAACGATTCTGGGAACTCTTCTAGTGTTCTCCTTGGAGGTTGGAGACTCTCTCTCTGCTCTCTCTGTGAGACATCCCTGTAGAGAGGACACATGGAGAGAGGCTGATGGAGCCAGACCTCTGGAGCTGGAGAAGCCACATGGAGACCCCTGCCAGTGCTGAGATGCTTATAATGCCACTGGATCTACAAGACTTCCCACCCACTGGCCTGTGATC